ATATATCTTGCACAGAGTACATTATTATATTACAGACAATATCTTGTCCCATAGACTTAGAACATACTGCTCACAGAATACTTTACTCCTAGCGGAGAAGACTGTTAACTCCATATAAAATGGATAGGAACAAAATTCAGCGCCATCTATCGTTGGAGCACATAAAAATATTTGAGCGGGAAAATTCGAATAGCAGAAATTAAATATTTTTCATCAATCTGGTTTTTCCAAGATTTATTCTATTACATAAAAAATATGTTTCTATAATTAAACATTATTTCTATAAACATTTCTCTAGAATTATAATAATTACTTTAGAAACATATTTCCTAATAGAATAAATCTTGGAAAAACCAGAACCGATTACAGTTATGTATTTCTGACGAAGAATACAAGTTATAGTATAATATGATTTATGCTTACAAATTCATTTATTCATAACAAAAGATATAGAAAAAAAACATAATTAGCCTATTAAATTGTTTTAAATTCATTTAAGTTAGTATATTGGAATTACAGGTGTAACTTAATATTTAATGAAACACGTTTAAATTATGCCAAATTCTTACAATATTCACACAGAAAATAACTAGAATAATATGTACTCAATTTAAATAAAATATAAAACATGACGACAATTTGAGTTTTGTTTTAATAGAAAAATTGGCCTTTACATCTAAAGATGTTTTATACAGCTACAATAATTTTACAACAGCTATTCTGGACGCTGTAGTACCTGGGACATCACGAATCCAAATTAATAAGTTTGGATTGCAAGTATAGTAAATCTTAATTTTTGTTTACAAATAAATTTCTTCATAAAAAAAGATACGGAAAAAGACAAATATAACTAAACTATACTAAAATGTTTTAAATTCAAATAAGTTGACATATTGGAATTACAGTTTACGGCGTAATGTAATATTTCATAAATTATGCAAACTTCTTACAATTTTCACATAGAAAATAACTATAATATGTACTCAATTTATGTATGTATGTACTCAATTTAAATATAAAAATGTCAACAATTTGAAACAGAAACATAACTTGTTTATTCAACTTATTTATTCAATATAGATATATATCATAACTTGTTTATTCAATATAGATTATATATAATACTTATTGAAACTCTTTTGTTTAATTACCACTGGTTCGAAAAAAAACCTCTGTCCTGGGAAGAACCAGCAAGAAACCCAGCAGGTTTTTTTTAAATAGCTTACAATAATGTTTGGTAGCGATCACATTCATTCCCAGGGGTTATTATCATCCATAAATTCCTTAACATTATAATAACCCTTTTTATACAAACTTAGTTTAATAAAGTTTTTGAACTTTGAGCACTTTGAGAACTTTGAACACACACACACACACACACACACACACACACGAAATTCACTCAACTCAACGCAATAATGGAGAAACAGAAGTGTAATAAAGTAACAAATTAAAGGAAAAACAAAAACAACAACAAACAACAAATTACAACAAATCGTTGAAATTTGAAGCGAATGAAAACGTGCACACTTGTTTTTTTTTAATTTTTAAGTGCTGCCTATTTATAAATTTAATATTCTTCTATAAACATGGAGAAGATAGCCGGTATTCTATAGGATGCATTTCGGTGAGTGTGCGCAGGAATTACACGCTTTAATTCCTTCCTCTCCTTTCCATCATTGGACAACCAGGCGGTCGGCGGGTCTTCACCCCTTTGTTGTCGATATTCTACGCATTATTATTTACTTCATCTTTTGTAATGCGTACAGCAAAGGAGTGGAATAATTTGCCAGCGTCTATCTTTCCGTCCAAATACAATCTGGGTGCCTTCAAGGCAAGAGTGAATAGGCTTTTGTTACGCTAAGACAGTGCTATTTACCATCTAGGGCTACATCACCACTTACCACCAGAAGGGATTGTGGTCAAGCAGTGGTTTATAATAAGTTAAAAGAAAGATAACTGTTGCTGATGCTTTAATCAGCTTTTTAATAGTGGTAGGGCCACGCGGCAGCTTTTGCTGTCACACGGATGGGCCGGCTCGAACGGGGGTGGTACCACGACCTCACAGAATACCAGCGTGAAATAAAGTTTTACCTCTGCGTTTCGCTTGGTGAGTGCAGGTGGCCGGAGACCCTTTTTACTGGAAATGAGGCATTCCATCTCAGTCCTCACGGGTGACAACGCATCTGCATTATGATTTGTAACAGAGGATAGATGTAGATGTCTATGGGTCGCAGCAACCACTTACCATCAGGTGGACTGTGTACTCGTTTGTCACCCTTATCCTATAAAAAAAAATTCACGAGCACTATAAACGTACGTATTAGGCATTATTAAAACAAAAAACGTAGCAACAAGAATAATACCAACACGTAATAACAATTAATAACAATAAGAATTTAATAAACAAAACGATTGAACTGTCAAAAATCAACACGAAACTATCTCAAAAACTAAAATTAATAACGAACCCCACCAAAACTGAAACCTACTGCGTCTATATGTCGACAGTGAAGGGAGTGTGGGTACAGACGCGTTCTAAAGTACTACTTGGTATTAGGCTATTGTTTTATAATATTATAGTAATTAATTGTTTAATTGTAGAATCATAATAGGTGTTTTACTAGCTACTTAGAACTTTGGAAGAGGTTGGAATTAAAAATGGATAATGTTTACTTAAGCATTATTTGTTATTTCTATCGTAAAATATAAAGTAGTTTGTAACAAGAAAACTTAAGCTAAGGGTGACACGCCGTCCATTATGTCGTCTTGGGTCACATGGAAGCCAGATGTCGATGGTGTTTTGGTGTTACTAAATGCTACTTTATCATCACTTTCATCTTCGCTTGAGCTTCCGTCATCAGGTCGATCACATGGTAATTTTTTCGGTATTCTTCCTCAACACTTTTAACTTTACTGCACAATTTTCCCCATTCACCTTCTCTTATCATATTTACCTTTTCTTTGATATTTGAGGAACTTCCATACATCGGCCGAAGAAGAGTTAGAAATATTTTCATGGAAATAGCAATGTTTTGCTGCCCTTGCTATGTGATTACAGCGATTGCGAGCCACTTTATACAAACGCCAGTTGTCATCACACCTATCACGCTTGAATTTTCTAAAAGACCTGTCACGTTGAGTCATTGCCATGCGAACTCCCCTCGTAATCCACGGAGCTGAAGGTCGCTTGAATCTAATAGCTCACACCGGTGCATGGACATCAAACAGTTTCAGAGATAATTCAGTGAAAATTGAAACTTTGTCGTCCACTGAAGACGCACCATAAGCGGAGAAAAATCAAGAGTCGACGCATCATTTTCTAAATTAACAGGGTCCATTCCATTCATTATTTTTCCTAGTCATACTACTGCCAAATGAAATATCAGTTAAATATATTTGTCTTTACATAAGTATTTTCGTAATAGTTTTATTGATACACCAATATCCATTCAATTTAGGCTTACTTATCTGCCTTTAACTCTGTGACATATGTCAGCAGAATAACATACCAGGATACTATGTAGTATCTATACTAGTATCACGGTATGTTTGCCTTTACATTTTATATCTTCTACAGTCCTTTGAATATTTGTTAAAGACCAAGACGGACCTATTTTATTTTTCTTATAATTTCTAGGCATTATGTGTACCTTAAAAATCTTTCCAATTACCAATCACCAAGAATAGACAATTAGTTATATTATTTTCAATTAACCCGATATTTCCATTTATCCCAAATGATGTTGACATTTACTCAAGTAGATGGTATCATTGGGGTGAAAGTAAACATGCGATTTCATACAAAAATATGAAATGTTACTGTTATACTGCCCCTGCAAAGGTCAAATATCCCGGGGCCCATGAGCGGAAGATTCAACGGGCAGCCGCGGGTTCGAACCCAAATGGCCATATGGAAAAATGTGCTATCATACTACACTATAGGGAGAAGGCTAGTCAAATAAATAGTACGTACCTGGGTTGAGGCGAACACTGTCCCAAAGGTTCGGTCAGGCCGAAGGTGTGTGGCATCGTTATTGTAGGGGCGTATTTCTCCCCCAACAAGAGTCTCGCTGACTTTGAGGGTTTCCTTGTCGAGTTGGGCGCCGTCGTAGGCCGTTATCACCCTCGTCCCGTTCTGGTGCTCGGAGATCTCAACGCCAAGTCATCGGCGTGGGGATCTCCCGTCACTGACCCTCGGGGCGAGGTGCTAGAAGAGTGGACGGTGACGATTGGTCTGGTCGTCCTGAATCGGGGTTCGGAATACACGTGCGTGCGGCAGCGGGGTGGGTCGATAGTGGACGTCTCGTTTGCTAGCCCCTCTGTCACCAGCCGAGTCCGTGACTGGCGTGTCGCCGCAGAGGTGGAGACGCTGTCGGACCATCGATATATCCGGTTCGACGTCTCTGCCCAGACTGCGGGCGGCCGCCATCCAACAACCCCGATTAACGACGCGTTGGGCGCTTAAGTGCATCGACAGGGAACTACTCGAGGAAGCTGCCCTAGTTCAGTCCTGGATCTGGGAGTCGACGACGGACGGCCCCGTCGACGTCGAAGCGGTGGCGCTATGGTTTCGCAGGGCGATGACGCAGATCTGCGACGCGTCAATGCCCCGTGTCCGCCAACGGTCCGCAAAGCGCCAGGTGTACTGGTGGACCGCCGAGATCGCGCAATTGCGCATAGCGTGCGTTGCGGCTCGTCGCCGGTACACCCGATACCGGAGGCGGCGTCGACGGGATTCCGCCGAGGAGGACGCGCTGTATGAGGTGTACCGCGCGTCTAAGGAGACTCTGTGGCTGGCCATAGGCGACTCAAAGTCGCGTGCCAGGGAGGAGCTGCTGGGGTCCCTAGATCGGGATCCGTGGGGGCGCCCCTACCGTTGGATTCGGGGCAAGTTGCGTCCCTGGGCGCCTCCACTAACACAAAGGATGCAACCCCAGTTGCTAGAGTCGGTGTTATCGACTCTCTTCCCTGAGCGAGTGGGACACGTTCCCCCGGCGATGGCTTCGCCCTCAGCCACAGACTCTCCAGAAGAGGAGAGCACCGATGTCCCCGAGGTGACGCAAGCAGAGACGAAAGTGGCCGTGTCGCGACTCCGGGCTAAGAACACAGCGCCCGGACCCGACGGAGTTCCTGTTCGAGCTCTCGTCCTGGCTCTGAAGGAGCTAGAGCCCCAGCTGAGAGGGCTCTTCACGGCATGTCTCGAGCAGGGTCAGTTTCCCAGTGTGTGGAAGGAGGGGAGGCTGGTCCTGCTCAGGAAGGAGGGGCGCCCCGCGGACTCACCGTCCGCGTACCGGCCCATAGTGCTGCTCGACGAGGCGGGCAAACTTTTTGAGCGTATCATCGCAGATCGCCTCGTCAGCCACTTGTGCAGAGAGGGGCCGGACCTGGATGACAACCAGTTTGGTTTTCGTCGCGGGCGCTCCACCATAGACGCTATTACGCGCGTGAGGGCCCTGGCGGAGGAGACAGTATCCCGGGGTGGGGTGGTGCTGGCGGTGTCCTTAGACATCTCCAACGCTTTCAACACCCTACCCTGGAGTTGCATTCAGGAGGCGCTGAATTACCATCGCGTGCCTCCCTACCTCCGCCGCACAATAGGGGCTTACCTTGAGGAGAGATGCGTTACCTATTGGGGACGTGACAGCGCTGGTCGGCGCGTCATGTCGTGCGGTGTTCCGCAGGGATCGGTCTTGGGACCGCTCCTGTGGAACATCGGCTACGACTGGGTGCTGAGAGGTGAACTCCCGTCGGGCGCCGACTTGACGTGTTATGCGGACGACACGCTCGTCACTGCCCGGGGGAGTTAGTACAGGGAAGCAGCGTTGGTTGCCACGGCTGCGGTGTCACAAGTGGTGAACCGCATCCGGTGCCTGGGCCTGGAGGTGGCCCTAAGTAAGTCTGAGGCCATGGTGTTCCATGGCCCTCGACGCGCGCCGCCGCCGGGTTCACACATCGTGGTCAGCTGGGCCCGGATAGCTGTCGAGTCCACCATGAAGTATCTGGGATTGGTGCTCGACAGCCGATGGGAATTCGGACCCCACTTCCGGCGGCTGGCGCCCAAGCTGATGGTTGCAGCGGGCGCGCTATCAACGTTGCTTCCCAACTTGGGGGGCCCGAGCGCCGCCTGTAGGCGGTTGTACGTGGGAATCGTGCGGTCCATGGCCCTGTATGGGGCCCCTGTGTGGGCGATGGACATGACGGCCAGCACTCTCGCCATTCTGCGTAAACCGCAGAGGGCGATGGCCGTCAGAGTCGTCCGCGGGTATCGCACGATTTCCTACGAGGCGGCTTGCGTCCTGGCCGGATCCCCGCCCTGGGACCTAGAGGCGAAAGTACTCGCGTCATTATATCGATGGCGCGAGGAAGAGCGGGCACGGGGCTCGAGGCCGGTGCAGCGGCAGATCGCGCTGCGCCGAGAGGAGCTCCGTCAGGTCTTGGTGGCGGAATGGCGGCAAAGGCTTCTGCGCCCTACCGCCGGCCTCGCTACCGTCGAGGCGATCCGGCCAGTACTCGACGACTGGCTCGGGAGAAGGCACGGCTCCCTGTCGTTTAGGGTGATGCAAGTGCTGTCGGGGCATGGCTGCTTCGGCAAGTACCTGCGCCGCATAGACAGGGAGCCGGACGCTCGGTGCCACCACTGCGTCCATTGCGGGGAGGACACGGCGCAACACACGCTCGCGAATGTGTAGCTTGGGAGGAGCAGCTCCGTGTCCTCACAAATAAAGTAGGAGGTGATCTGTCGCTGCCGGCCTTAGTGCGGAAGATGGTCGGTAGCGCAGAGTCGTGGGATGCGGTGGTGTCCTTCTGCGAGGACGTGATGTCGCAGAAGGAAACTACGGAACGGGAAAGGGAGATCACGACTCCCTTCCCTGGCCGCAGAAGGCGCACCGGGCGCAGGAGAAGGGCGGACAACACACTTTTCCGGCCCCCATAAATGGGTCCAGGGGCGAGGGACTTGGGAAAGCCCCCCGCCACCCCTACTCGATGGACCCGAGGCGGATGCGCGCGCGGGTGTCGGCGCGCGCCCCTGAGGCGATACACGGGGTAGTTGAACACCTCACTACCCCGTGCAGGAGACGAGGCCTGGACAGACCGGGCCAGCACTAGTGTGGGGCTGCGGAAGAATTTGGATTCCCGCGGCCCCATGCGCACGTGTAAGGAGACACCGGGGTGATTTTAGCCGGTAAGAGTCCGGCACGCCTCTCCGCCTTTCCCCAGGCGGAGGTAGTCTATGAGGATTTCCCCCCGTAAAATAAAAAAAGGCCGAAGGTGTGTAGGTGAATGTGTAGTGGTGTGGATTGTGGTTGACCTGAATGGATCGTTGAAGTCGGCAGCTACCCTGACTCCGGCACCGCTTCAACTTGTGGTAATCTCCAGCGGCGTCACCCACGGTCAATTCCTTTCTTCATGTCACTATTGCCATCTATCAACTTTATTGTACAGTTAGCTAACTTCAAAACGCAACTAATTCAACGTTCATCGGAGAATCATACACGTGATAATCGACTCAAGTAACGGACAGTAGTTCAAAGTTCAACATTCAATATTCCGGGTTCATTTATCACCAAATTACAAATAGGGAACTAACGCGATCTCTTCACGATTCACAAAGCTCAGCGTTCAACCGACAATCGCTACAAGTTACGTAAATTACTTGCCAACGAATTTAGGTTAATCCATCAAATTATTACTGTTTCGTCATCGCGTGAACGCACTAAGGATAAGCACTAGAAGCTAAAAACTCCAATGGTAAATTCCACACGCTTCAAAAACCCGGACGTTGGTCGCAATCAATATTAATTCTAAATAATTAATCAAACCGGCGTCTATTTGTCTAGACTCAACAAAAACCTCGTCGTTGCATCAATTTTCTAACAAAACCGACTCTAAAAATGGAGGTTATCCCGGGCGACCTCACGACGTGCTATCGACAGCACTGCATTCAAGCAACTCCGTTGCACTCACGTTATGTGCTCGCGCCCTCTGCCAAACCCACTCCGCTCGCCCGTACGTCAAAACCGGTATGGTCAAATCTTGAAACCAGCGTTTGGGAGCGAACAGTTACATTTAAATTACATGCACAATTATTACTCATGATCCTTATAATTCCTATATAACAATCGGTAAGACTAACTTTATTTTGCCACACTAAAAGGTCAAATAATATCTCCCTACGGAACTGTTTTAATGCTGGAATTGTTGTCCACATAGATTATTACTGTATATACTAAAGAATCGTTGTGATTTGAAATGCAATGAAACGAAAAAGCGACACTAAAAAGAGACAAACATATACATATATATGCGTCTAGGAGAGAATGAGATAGAATACAGTGTAGTAAGCGAAAATAACCTAATGGCAGTGTGCGGACCGCGAATTCAAAAGGTGGTGGGTTGTAATCCACCATTCGAAAACTGTTATGAACCGCTCCTAACACAAGCATTTTTACCTTATAATGATTAAAGGGAATATAAGTAATCTCATTAAAGGTGTGTTGCCTATTATCTCGCCTCTTATATATTTGAGAAGTTTATTTTTATAATACGTCTGTCAGAATATTTTTATGTATATACTCTATATTCGTAGGTTGTGGTGGGGAGTGGGGTGGGGGGGGGGGGTTGTAATTAAAAATGTCCTATCTTGATGTTGACAAAGTAACAGCGCTCTTTGATACATTTACTTTTATTAAGGAAGTCCCACCTATTAAACCTACTGAATACACTGTTTGCCGACAATTAATTTGCTCTTTGGTTTTATTATCTCTTTGCACTTAATATTGCATTTTATGCATTTTTAACGTCAAGCTGGGTGCAGTATTTCATGTTGTAAAAACTACCCATTTCTAATTATTTGAAGTTATATCGATGTTATAAGTGGAGCAATATTTACCTATTTTTTATTTATAAACTACATGAGTGTAATTTAAATAATTAATATTTTTGAGATGTGCTATTTAAAATACATCTGTCAGTATTTTTTATTTTATATATACTCCAAATTCGTAGGCTGGGGAGGAGGGGAGGGGACACAGTTAGGAGTTAGGTACTAAGACAGTTAAGGCGGCTACTGACATGCCTGCCGCAGGGGCAATCTAGGGAGTACAGCGATCGGAGCAATATCTGAACTGTAGAGACACACACATGCCTGCCGTTCAGTATGAGCGAGTATGAGAGTGTACGTACGCATTGAGAATGGCGCCAGTTTTATCGAAATATCAATAAATCGGTATATATAGCCTTGGCTCTTTTTTATATAGAATAAGGGTGACAAATTAGCACAGCCCACCTGATCGTAAGTGGACACTGTGGCCCATAGACACCCACATTTATCAATAAAATAATTAATTAATAATTACAACCATAATATAGTGCTTATAAGCTGCAGCATAGCTCTGGCACGCTATTTTTAGGCTAGGAAAGACAATTAAATATGAGTAACGTCACTCGTCATAATTTAAAATAACCAATTTATTCTGTGATATAACTTAACTAACTAGTGCTTAGTAACTATAATTTACTAGTGTTACAAATATCCAGGATAGTTTTCTAAAGATGAGTTTTAATAAATTTAATTACTAAAATTTGTATTTTTGTTTAATTATTTAGTTAATGACATTTTATTTATATTCCAGCAATTTTAATACTATTGGAATATTTTCTTTCCCATACTAGATCTTATGATAAGTTAGGTAACAAATCCCAGTAATATTACTTGTAAGTTACAATGTTCAAATTTTTTTTTATATAGGATAGGGTGAGAAACGAGCACACAGTCCACCTGATGGTAAGTGGTAGCTGTGGCCCATAGACATCTACATCTATCCTCGTTTGCGAATCAAAATGCAGATGCGTTGTCACTCGTAAGGACTAAGGTGGAATGCCTCTTTTCCAGTAAAAAGGGCCTCCGGCCACCTGCTTTCACCGAGCGAAATGCAGAGGTAAACCTCTACTTCACGCTGGTTTTCTGTGAGGTCGTGGTACCACCCCGGTTTGAGCCAGCCCATCCGTGCGACAGCAAAGCTGCCGCGTGGCTCTACCACTGTGAAAAATGTGAAAATAACGTTCTTTCTGCGGTTCTGACTTGTACTCATACGTGTGCTCCGCGCGAAAGTCGCAACGAACTGAACGAAAATGCCCCAATTGCGCTACACACGCGACAGCGGCAGAGCCGATCTAGGGAGCAAGGAACGTCTTGTTTGCGTTGATTGCCGCAATTTGCGATGTTCGTCTTGATTGCCTACACACATCACAATTAAGGAGGCAATTAAGGGACATTCCCACTCCTACAGCCTAGATTGCCCCTGCAGCAAGCATGTCAGTAGCCGCCTTTAGAGAATAAAGAGCATAGATTACTGTTACTGTATATCACAGACCTCCCTCTACGATCACAGACTAATATGATACTTATATACTGACTGTTACTGTATACTGGGTGGCGCCCAGGTTATCACGTTAAATAGCACAACAGTTAATACAAGTTGATATATGTCTGTTAAAATAATAAAATAAACAATAATAAAAACTAATAAAAAATGCATCTTTCAAACAAAATAAATAGGGTAAAAAATCACATAAAATAAATCATCCTTGATAATATTACTTAACTGACCTGAAATGACTTGTAGAAGCGGCAACGTCGCGGCCAGCGGTTCATTGCTCATGCGACATCGATATAGGTAATTATATTATAATACCTAGGTCCTAGGACTTGCCCATACATAGGTAATTAGGCACGCGTAGGGCGATGCTAATCCGATGTTATCAACAAATCACAAATTTCATGGTATTTTTTTATCCAAATAATCAC